TTCTCGCGACTGTCTCCCGGCGTTTCGGTGCACGGTTTGCCGAGCACGAGCGGCGCGGCGTGGCCCATCCTCGACGTTTTCGAGCGATAAAACGTGAAATACGAGCGCGCACGGTGGTCGAACTTCTATTCGCCTCGACCGAAAAGGATGTCCGGATCATAACGGCCCCGCTCTCCTTTCTCTCTCTGTACACCCCGTTGCTTCCGTGAGTTACTTTTACACGGCCGTTTGAGAAGGACACACTCCCGATCCTCTCGAGTGGGTCCTCGGGCTCTTGTCCGCCCAAAGTTCGCGACCCCTCAATCGTCGAAGGAAACGGTGCACGGGTTTTTGAACATCGTTCGCGTACAGTTTCAATATTCTTTGTCCTCCTCCTCTCCTCTAGCAGCAGCACTCCCTTTCTCAGAGTAGCTTGCTTCAATGGAAACTCGCGAACTCGATTAACGCGAATAAACTTCATTCAAATGATCGCATTCGAACCAATCTCGACTATCAACTTCCGCGAGCTCTATTCTATAAAAATTTCAATCACTTACCTGTTCCTCGAAATACTCAGTCCCACGAAGAAACGCTGACAGAATAGAATCACCACGTACCTTAACACACTCCCAGCCGCTGTCACGCTCGCGGACTTCTCTTTGTCGACCGTCATCGGCCGTCACGTACGCGTGACTTATTTTCGCCAACGATGACGCTTCATATCGACGTTTGTATAGGTAGACGTATCATTGCAACTGACTATGTTGCGAACAATTGCGTAAATATCACCGTTGGCTACTTGATGTCTGAACATCAGCATATTAGCGACAGAAGTGTTCCACACTTCTTACGCGTAGCCATACCGAATAACACATTAGCATACTAAATGATATAAGAACCGACGAATCGTACGTTCCTATCCGTCAAGCGATCTCCCTATACAGAGAGTCTCGCTGATAGAGTCAGCCGAACGGATGTATCCTCCGCGCGCCGGGAAAAAAGAAAGTACAAGGGAGATTAATTGGAACCTCCTTCGGGGGAGCAGAGGCGAGGGAACGGGTGCGCGCGAGAAGGAAAGAGAGAAAGGGGGTGGAAGACAGAAGGGAAATTGAGAGAAGGCAGGAGAAGGGACGGCGGCCGCGCGGAAGCGAGACGGGCGCAGGCCGACGTAGCCGGAGGGCGAGCTTTTTGCCGAACACATAATGCATAGCGAAGGATGACACCCTTATCTCGGGATCTTTAATTCCGTGAGCGGCCGCGAGGGGGTCGCCCGCGTCGTCATTTGTCGGTTGCACCGCGCGCTGGAAATCAAGGGCGGCCGGGGTGGGTGGATGAAACCGCCGGCGCTGTTAACATCACCGTTGGGTACAGGGGCTGGAAATTGCCTTGGCTGATTTCATTTCGAGCCAGATTATTTTAAGGGGTTCTGCTTTTCTTTCCCCTCCCCTTCCGCGTTCCTGCCAGCCCCGACCGTCCCCCTTCCCGGCGTCCCCCGCCCCATCGGCCGGTGATTAATGGGACTCAGGACAAGAGAGCGAACGCTTCAGCCCAGAACGGAGCCGGCGTTACCTTTCAGGCCCGCCGATTAATTTATGCGTGCGATCCACGCGCGCGCCCGGAAACGACACGGCATCCGACGCGCCGCTGGTCCCGGCGCGTTTTTGGCGTTGCCGACGATCGGCCGACGGATGACGGTGCATTGCGGGGCAATTGATTGCGAGGGTTTATGGAGCGCGATTTAATCTAATCGCTGCTCTGCGAAGTAGATCGTTAAGCGTACTTCACGAATTTTGTTGTTTAGGATGCGTGAGTGGTGGTTTTGCTTTCGTTGGAGAAAGGGGTTGGAATTATTGAATCGGTTTATGAGGAGGTAATGTTGTAGTGTTTACTTTAGGTTGAAACGTTTAATGCCGTTGGTGGTTCCGATTCGGAATGTAGATCCGTGAACTAGTTAAAAGTACAATCTGGAGATGATCGATCCTCCGGGGAAATTAATTGGAAGAACGAATATAATTCCCTGGGACGCGACGACGTCGCCTATGGGATCTATTTTGAATATTCCCAAGCTATAAGTATCGACGGAGGCAGCCGCTTAAAGTGTCTGTCTGCACTTTGGTTTACATATTCAGCAATCGACGCGAATAGATTATCACCGAGTAATAAAATCAATGGGCACGACGGATAAAATCGGGCCAACATCCGTGTTTACGTGCAGTAGAAGCAGCGTGCACTGGTCAGACACGCCGATTCACGAGCGAACAGCGTATCTCCGTGCGTTTCTGCTTTATTCGAATAAACATTTATGTTTCCTTTTAAAAGAACGTAACGAAAAATCCCTCCGAATTCCTCTGCTCTCTGTATTTACATAAAAAACAACTCCCTAACAAAAGCGTCAAACAATGTTACCGGTACGCCGTCAAGAATTCCGCGTTAGCGACCAATAACAAAAATATCTCCATTAAAACGTACATAACATCGATAGAATTCTCGAAACGTCACCGGCGTTCCCGACAAAATTCTTTCAGTCGTACACGCAGCGCGACGCGCCCGGGGGAAAGATCACGGATATCCGAATTTCCGCGTTAAATAGTTGAAGCTGTTTAAACGCGAACGGGCGGCAGAGAATTTTCATGAACGAACGATAAAGGGGAGGAATTCGGTGCGCGAGCGGTCGGAGCGTAACGGGACCGCGAGCTTTAAAGAGTTTCAACGTCCTATTATAAAGTCTTCACCGTGCATAATAACATTCAACTCCGCGGGCTGGAAGGCATTAGGGAAATCGCGTTGCCTCCCCTCGGCTGTTTCGCCCTCACCCCTTTCCCAGTCGACCCAGCCGGGGACCGTTCGCCGCAGCGCGCCGAAAGCTCCAGCTATTTCTCCGCGCCATGCGGACAATACGGTCCCCACAAATCAGCGGATCTCTCGCGGCGCGCCACGAGATTCCGCCGTTCCGTCGATTCCGCGGGCGAATAAGACGCCGGAGGGTTAGCTAATGTCGGGATAAGGTCCATAAATAAAAGGAGGAGCACGCGGACAAACCTGTGACGCGTCGTCGTCTCCTCTCCGCCTGGCTCGCGTCGGCCCGGTCGTCGCAGCGGCCGCCTGTAATGGAGAGAATGATGATGCGGTTCAAACTCATTGCGCCGTTGTGTTGCGTTTATAAGAATGTTATATTTTCTCGGTAGTAATGGGGCAGCCCCTATCGAGGCAGTTCGTAAATACGTTAGTAGTGCGCTAATAAATGATATTTATATACAGATGGATTAAAAAACAAACAAACGGAAGAAAAGAAAAGAGGAAAGAGTTCGCGTCTCTCGCACCGCGACGCGCGGTTGTTCCTTTTTCTCTTTTTTCTCTTCGTCGCATCGTGCAGCTGCTGCGGCAGCTTCTCTTCGCGTGATTCTCACTCGTACCGGCTTTCCCTCGCGTTCTATCGCATGCACGCACACATACACACAGACACACGCATACCGTCTCTCTCATTTTCTGTCTCTCCCTCTGTAACCTCTTTGTACTTAATCGATACGGTGGTTTCGGATTCGGCTCGCGATCTTGAATAATTTACAAACGGTCGGATCGCCCCGCGACCCGCGGACAAGCTCCGTGACCCGGAGCTACGACGGACGATTGAGATCATTTCCGGTGAGAAGGGAGAAAAGAAGATTCCGGTGTCCGCGGTCAGGGGGAGCTTGCCGGGGGTCGAGCGGCGATCCGCGCGTCTCGCGATTCGCTTGATCGGCGACTCGAAAATGAATTCTCGTTTATCAGCGCACGCGTCGTTCGTTCATTTGTCGGATTCTCAGCCGTGATTTTGGTATAGGTGTCTCGCCTTCGTCTGCCTCTTCCTTTCCGGTTTGGTTTTTTGGCATTAAAGCGTAAAGCCGCGACTAAGCCCCTCGACTAGCAAGCAGGTCCGAACCGAGACGAAAGCTTCGTTCGTGGTTCCAAGCGGGGAACGGAGCGATCCCGATCCGCTACAGGTCGGAGACGAATTGCGACCGGCCGTTCGAGGTCACCGGGCAGTTCTATCCCCGCCACGGCGCCGAACCATCCCCACCGCTTAATCTTCTTCAGCGAAAACTCGCGGAGAGAGGGCAGCGGCCTTGAACGGTCGGCCGAATCCGGTCCGCCTGTAGGCGTCGAGATCGCTGCCGGTTCCACGGTTCACCCAGTAACTTGGGCGAGAAATTCGGAAATGCAAAACCCTGGCTGTCGCCTTCGAGTGGACATCGAAACTCTCCTATCGTTAATCTTTGGTATCAGCCATCGTAGAGAATTGGGCCGCGCCTTTCGGCTCGTATACCGAGATTCGGAGACCGCGCCCCCGAGGTTCGCCAATATTCGCGCGACGCTCGCCCCGAGACGGCACGGGATCCCGACGTTGAGGATCGAGGACACCGCGCGCACGTCAGGCTCGCGTCCCGACCGCTCCGACGATCGGAGAGCGTCGAATCGAACTGAACAATGGAACAAATACTCTTAACGATCGCGAAACAGTTTAATCTAGTAGCTTAAGAACAAACGGGACTTAACGACGATTCAACGGTCCGTGCGTTCGACGTCGACGGTCGTTAAAGTGT